ATTCAACTACTGACCATATCTTTACACTATATGCAATAATACAAAAGTGTCTATCGCGTAATAAACACAAACTTTATGTAGCATTTGTTGACTTTAAGAAAGCTTTTGACTCTGTGGATCGTTGTAAATTATGGCACTGCTTACGAAAGTCTGGTTTACAAGGGAAAATGTATTCTATTTTATAATCTATGTACTTGAATATTAAATCATGTGTTCGTTGTGGTGATGATGTCACCGATTTTTTCGACTGTCCCATGGGAGTTCGGCAAGGGTGTACTTTAAGCCCTATATTGTTTTCCTTCTTTATAAGTGAGTGAGTTATTATTTAACGTCACATCTGCAATATCTTTATAAGCGAACTGTATTATATTTCTAATTCAGGTAAACATGGTGTGCAAATGTTTCCAGATATGATCGAAATTTTTATTCTCCTTTTTGCCGATGATGTAATTTTAGTGTACTATCGCCGGTCTACAAAATCAACTGAATATTTTGGAACGTTATACAAATGAATGGAAATCATTTGTTAATTTTGAAAAAACAAACATAGTTATCTTTAGAAGAGGTGGGCCTGTCGTCTCTAAAGAAAAATGGTTTTTGAATGGCCAAAATTTATTGTTAATCAGTATACCTATATCGGACTATTGTTTTCCTATACCATGAACTTTGAAAAGAGTGTTATAGACCTGAAATCACGTGCTAAGAAGGCTCTTATTAATGTTATGTCAGTTTCACAGAATTTTGGAATTTTAACCCCGAAAATATATTTTACATTGTTTGATGCACAAATCCAACAGATTATGCTTTATGGGTCTGAAATTTGGGGATTTCAATGTCATGAATGTCTAGAGAAACTACGCCTTTTAGCATGTAAAAGATGTTTAAATATATCGCAAGCAACACCAACTTGTATGGTTTATGGAGAATGCGGTAGATATCCGATATATATACATTCACAAATCAGATGTTTAAAATATTGGTTAAAGAACCTTGGGATGCACGAACAAAGAATCCCCAAACTAGCTTATAACATGCTTGTACATTTAGATGATAGGGGTTAAACAACATGGGCGTCTCATATTAGAAATCTTTTATTTTCTCATGGCTTTGGATTTGTGTGGCTAAATCAAACAGTTGGTAATATTAATCTATTTCTTAAGCAATTTCGAGAACAAACCTGTTAGCATGTATTATCAAGAATGGCATTCCTGTCTAGACAATTAGTTCAAGATACCAGTTGTATAGATCACATAAGAGCTGAATTCAACCAGAACTATATCTATCTGTATTGACATCTAGAAATATCACTTGTCAATTTTCAATTGGGCTTGTTAGACTTATCAGTAAATAAGGGCAGACGATTTTCAATAGATAGACGTTTAAGGATATGTCAATTATGTAACCCGGCTATAGAAGATGAAATTCACTTGGCTTTTGTATGCCCACATTATGCTGATTTTAGAAAAAAAGAAATCCCTAATAATTACCTGTTCAAATATCCTTCATCTGCCTTTGCTTCCATTCTATCCTCCAAAAATGAAAATGTAATACGTAATCTTGCGCTTTATGTAAAACATGCTGTTATCCTTAGAAGCAATATCTTACCTGAACTGTAATTTCTTTGTGAAATGTCTGTCACATGTGCTGTATTTATACTTGTATTACTTGTATATGGGCCGGAGGCCTTAAGTACAATAACTATCTTTGACTTGACTTGACTTGATATTGAAAACAGTTTTATTGACAACCACCCTCCCCCACCCCATCATCAGTTCACAGCTATGACGTCTTGAAAGACGCCATCTTGCTGTTTGGTGTCCAGGGCCCCGTTCATCAAATCGATCGACAGTCGTAAGTCTATGTTAAAGTATGGGAGTTACGACTGTCGTAGCGCTACGTTCGCTTTGAGGAACGGGTCCTTGATCCTGAAATACAGCCACGGAGCTACCACCTACTCCACTAGGACCATATTTTAACCTGTTAGTATCCAGATTGTTAGGCTTTCCTAAGGACGTATTTGTAGCGTATGGTGTTTCTGAGCGACGTGTGTTCTGCGGATGAGACAAATGGAGCAGTCATATGATATTCGTTGAGAAATTATGATGCGTGTTGTGAGATGTTTTGGGTAGAATGTTGTAGTGTTTGGAATTGGTTCAAATCTCATAATTGATGATCGGTTCATTACTACCGATCAATCATCGAAAATAATTGGTTAGCGTCATTTATGAAATTTGTTAATGCACATAAAAATAAAGAAAAAACATGTAGTTCTTTTAGGGTTTTTTGGCAAAATTTCACATCTTTAAAGGATGACTAGTATGTTGGGAACATAAATTTCTTGGAATCTTTAAGATAAATTCAATCATGACTTGAAACGAGCTTGCAGTGCTTGCGAAATATAACAGACAAAACCAACCATGTGAAAAATATTGTTAATGAAAACAAGTGTTCCAGAATTGTTTGTGTTCGATTATGAGAACTTATGATCTATTGCTTGGTCGTTTAGTCACTAAGACCAATCTTCGATTATTTTAATTAATCGGACCACCACTAGAATGTTGTTATCGTGGGCTAATGTTTGTGTTGTGGAATAAAGGATGTGCCGTTTGTGTAGTTTGTATGGTGCGTTTTGGGGATAGTGTGTGCATTGTATTGTTCGGATACGAATAAGCTTTGAAAATCGTTGCGTTGTGCTATGTATTATGATCAGCTTGTTGTTTAGAAATGTGGAGTGCTACGAGGAATGTAGTACGGTGCCCGGGTGTGGCATCTGACTGTCGATGTGTTCCCATGAGACGTTGACGAGTGTGTGTTTGCGTGCGTGTGTGTGTCTGAAAACATATAGATCCTTATTTCATTCAAAATATGAAGGCTGGGTAGGGGATACGGTTGGGTAAGGGTGAGGTGAAGGGTTTGGTAAAGTTGAGGTAAAGGATAAGGGACAAGGTTTGGTAAGGGTGAGGTAAAGGATAAGGGACAGGGTTTGGTAAGGGTGAGGTAAAGGATAAGGGACAGGGTTCGGTAAGGGTGAAGTAAAGGATAACGGGTACGGTTTGGTAAGGGTGAAGTAAAAAAAGATAAGGGACAGAGTTTGGTAAGGGTGAGGTTAAGGATAAGGGGTAGGGTTTGGTGAGGGTGAAGTAAAAGATAAGGGACAGGGTTTGGGAAGGGTGAAGTAAAGGATAAGGGACAGGGTTTGGTAAGGGTGAGGTAAAGGATAAGGGACAGGGTTTGGTAAGGGTGAACTAAAGGATAAGGAACAGGGTTTGGTAAGGGTGAGGTAAAGGAAAAGGGTGATAACAGGGTTTGGTAGGGTTTGGTAAGGATAAGGGGAAGGGTGAAGTAAAAGATAAGGGACAGGGTTTGGTAAGGGTGAGGTAAAGGATAAGGGGTAGGGTTTGGTAAGGGTGAAGTAAGTGATCAGGGACAGGGTTTGGTAAGGGTGAGGTTAAGGATAAGGGACAGGGTTTGGTAAGGGTGAGGTATAAGGATTAGGGAAAGGGTTTGGCAAGGGTGAGGGTAAGGACAAGGGACAGGGTTTGGCAAGGGTGAGGTTAAGGATAAGGGACAGGGTTTGGTAAGGGTGAGGTTAAGGATAACGGGTACGGTTTGGTAAGGGTGAAGTAAAAAGGATAAGGGACAGGGTTTGGTAAGGGCGAGGTTAAGGATAAGGGACAGGGTTTGGCAAGGGTGAGGTTAAGGGACAGGGTTTGGTAAGGGTGAGGTAAAGGATAAGGGGTAGGGTTTGGTAAGGGTGAAGTAAATGATCAGGGACAGGGTTTGGTAAGGGTGAGGTTAAGGATAAGGGACAGGGTTTGGCAAGGCTGAGGTTAAGGATAAGGGACAGGGTTTGGCAAGGCTGAGGTTAAGGATAAGGGACATGGTTTGGCAAGGGTGAGGTTAAGGATTAGGGACAGGGTTTGGTAAGGGTGCGGTAAGGGATAGGGTTAGGTATTGGTGAGGTGAAAAGGGTTTGGTAGGGTGGGAGGTGAATGGTTTGGTATGAATAGGGTTTGGTAAGGGTGAGGTAAAGGATAAGGGATAGGGTTTGGTAAGGGTGAGGTAAGGAATAGAGTTTGGTAAGGGTGAGGTGAAGTGTTTGGTAAGGGTGAGGTAAGTGATAGAGTTTAGTAACGGTGAGGTGAAGGCTGAGTAAAGGATAAGGGATAGGGTTTGGTACGGGTGAGGTGAAGGATTTGGTACGGGTGAGGTAAAGGGTAAGGGATAGGTTTGGTAAGGGTGAGGTAAAGGCTGAGTAAAGGGTAAGGGATACGGTTGGGTAAGGGTGAGGTGAGGCAAAGGGTATGGGTATGGGATACGGTTGGGTAAGGGTGATGCAAAGGGTATGGGATAGGGTTTGGTAAGGGTGAGGCAAAGGGTATGGGATACGCTTGGGTAAGGATGAGGTAAAGGCTGAGTAAAGGGTAAGGGATACGGTTGGGTAAGGGTGAGGCAAAGGGGTATGGGATACGGTTGGGTAAGGGTGATGCAAAGGGTATGGGATAGGGTTTGGTAAGGATGAAGCCAAGGGTATGGGATACGGTTTGGTAAGGGTGAGGCAAAGGGTATGGGATACGCTTGGGTAAGGATGAGGCAAAGGGTATTGGATACGCTTGGGTAAGGGTGAGGTAAAGGGTATGGGATACGGTTTGGTAAGGGTGAAGCAAAGGGTATGGGATACGGTTTGGTAAGGGTGATGCAAAGGGTATGGGATACGGTTGGGTAAGGGTGAAGCAAAGGGTATGGGATACGCTTGGGTAAGGGTGAAGCAAAGGGTATGGGATACGCTTGGGTAAGGGTGAGGCAAAGGGTATGGGATACGCTTGGGTAAGGGTGAGGTAAAGGATAAGGGATATGGTTGGGTAAGGGTGAGGCAAAGGATTAGGGATACGGTTGGGTAAGGGCGCGCGGCAAAGGACCGTTTCGGTGCTACTACGTCATCAATGTATCCCCGTGATTGCATCAATCCTCTGACGTCAAATGAAGACAAAATCTGCTAATTAGGCAACAAATAAAAATAACATTTTATTCATTATACTAGCACCTGAATGCAAGTCACATCTCATAATAGTAAATATATTTATGGTCGGTATATAATATCAGTATAAATGTGGAGTCATGCCACGGGTCCTCTCTCATGTAAGTTTGTGGTTTGAACGAGGTATGACGTCATTATATCGTAAGACACACAAATATGTAAACGGAAAACGAAAGCAAAAGTTCTGAGATTGGTAATGTATGTCACCAGAAGCCTGACAATGGCAGCTGAAAGTTCCAGGATCACACTACGATGAAAGCAATGTCAATCGGGCAGTAGTTAGCAGCATAAACCAGTCTGTCAGTTGTCGGGAAAACAGTTTTCTCGACGCCACTGACGTCGAAAAAATGTCACGAGGCCTAAAACAGCCAAAAACAAGCTTTGAAAATTGCACAACCCCATGAAAGCACATATATATAACAGTTAATCTATGTCTTCTCATACACATCACAACTCTCGTCCACAATAAATAATGACTGTGACTGTGACGTCGAACGTTCAGGTAACGTTGTTCGTCACCCGCTTGACGCCGGTGACGTGACGCCGGTCATTGCCATGCTCTGTATCACAAAATATAGCATCCGGCCGGATAGGATAAGCTTTGGCATCAGAGGTCCTGTAACACCGGAACACTACTCAGATCCAACGCTGTTTGGGATTCAGCTGTCAATCGCACCATGGCCGTTTGTCCGGAATTAGGAATGTCCGAAGTTGACTTATGTCCGAATGTAGACCCAGAAAACTGAAAACAAAAGTAGGAAATAAGTAAAAGATGTATTTCAACAGGAATGTATTCATAGGGGAATTACATGGTTCTAGAACAGGGCACGGCAATCAAAATGATCAGGTTTAAGGCATGGGCAAGGGCGAATTTAGCAGCAATGTTGTATACAGCGATATTAACACGCGTCGATAGCAACCGTGATCGGATCAATATCGCAGCACGTGGCGGAGTATCAGTGACAGCTACAGCCACGTGGGTATCTACCAGGCCTATATTTCATCAGCATGTGAAATTAACACCTGTCTCGTATCAATGTCATCAACGTTACCGTATCCATTAGTCCTTTGTCATGACATTTGAGCACAATTAACGATAGTTACGTGAATACTCTTCAAATTTTAAAATTTGAATTGAAAGTTATGTCCTACACTACAGTGTGATATAGTAGTTAAGGAAATAATTCATAATTTAAAAATGCATTTGATTTTATTAAGAAACGGAATGATCTGCACACGCCGCATTTCTTAACGGCGTCAAGGGGCCTCGTGGCTGGCGGACAGAGTCCAAAATGGAAGATAGCGTTCCTAACACGAAGGAAGACCATCTTCTCGGTTATCTGATCAAAGTCACATGACTTGAATTGCCAGATACGGTGTTCAGTAAATTAACCACAAGTTTAGCGATGATAAAAGGTAACACGTCATGTGCTTTGTGTGTGGTAGGTGAATCACTCGCCAGCTTCATGAGCCTGCATCACGAAAGACATGCTCGAGATATCTAGTCGCGGTAACCTCAATACTATTCACGTTTCAAATGGGTTCGATGTGAACGGCGATGAACTTATAGCGATGAGCTTGAAATGAGGCTAAGATTGAGTGAGTGAGTTTGGTTTTACGCCGCTTTTAGCAATATCCCAGCAATATCACGGCGGGGACACCAGAAAATGGGCTTCACACACTGTACCCATGTGGGGAATCGAACACGGGTGTTCGGCGTGACGAGCTGAGGCTAAGAGGTAACCGATGTACCTCACGCTTCAGTTTATATAAATGCGTCTACTTTCTATCCCATGATGAAACTCGTGTTTCACAATTGATGAAATAAATGTCTTGGAACTATTGTAAAACATATTCAATAACCGTTAGCTTCACGAGGACCTTCTACTTGTCTCTGCGGTCTGTCTAGCATACCTGCCCATATGACACTGACTCCAGAAATCTCTTATATCTTCCTATCTCTTTATCATCTTAACAATCAAAGTGATATCTGACGATTGGGACGACTATTAAGCTCATACATTTTTCGTAATGTATTTTATATTTCTAAATTATATATTAATAATATACTTATAAGTTTTAAGCTTCGACATGTTCCCTCTTTCGATGTACATTATCTTTACATGATTTTCATGACATATCCATGAAGCGTATCTGTACTCAAGGAAATTAAATTTAATACCTCTCATATATAATACGATATATACATCTATATAATACGATGTAACACTATCCGAGTGGGGTTGGACGCATTTGACATAAAGAAGCTTAGGTTGTTATTGAAGTGTTAAAACGGTGCTTCAAGACATAATATTCAACAATAATAAATCTGTAAAACAAATTGTACAACTACACATACCTTTTTCCATATTCTGCTACCTCCTTGTGCTGTGGCTTTGGGCGTCTGATATACTTTGCAATCGTCGCATTATTTCATAGAAATTGTCCAAACTTCTTTTTCGTGCCACAGTATATTGACAGGATAGACCGAAATAGTTTGGTGGGCAGTGACATCGGCACCTGTTAAAAATTGACTGGCCTAACAGTAATGTACCGGAGTTTAAACATCGACGGTTACCACACAGCGTGGCATCAGCAGGCACCACGTACAGCGTCAATAACATTACGATAAATACAGGTTTTAAAATTGGCACAACTTTCATATTCCACGTAGAGATTTTCCAACTCCAGGTCTGGGCAATAGCATGATATAAATCCATTAAAGGGTAAAATTGTCAGATTTAAAAACTCTTCTCTCTTCTTATCACCGTCCTCACCCTTGGCCCCAGCTCTATGTATGACCACTTCAAAGCACGTGTTCGAAGTACTACAGCGAGTATCACAAGCCCGCCTTCATATAGTTACCCAGTTGCCCTGCCCACTGTAAAAGGGGAGTGGCTTGAAAGCGGCTGTTCGTCATAGCTTTCGCGCCTAACACCACGCGCTTCATTCAATCCACACCTCACACAGTCACAAAATACACAAAGCCCTATTTCACCAAATCAAATAATACACGCTTGCGTTTGAATTCGTCAGGGAGCAATGCGACATTAAGAGGAAACGGAATTCTTCCTCGTGCTAAGCCATCAGCTCATTGCTCTTTTTCCTGAATAATATACCGGTGGTGCGTTCCACTTATATCTTTATCACAGCCTCTTAACATATCCTCACTATCAATGCGAGCTGGTGACAAGTTGCCGTGCAAACCTATCTGCTCTGTACAATCGTCTATCGACGCGTAACGGGAAATGCCGATCCCAGCATGTGTGGAATTCTGTTGAAGATAAATCTCTTTGGAAATTCCGAATAAACGTCATTTGATTCTAACCTTACAGCGCCAGTAATCGGATGTTTTCAATATGAAACGGCAAGTTTCGCTTGCTATTTTGTCAATGTTTGATTTGTGTTGAATTCCGACGGGGTGACTTAGGAATACTATATGTTCAAATCCAGCCGTTACGACTGTAAAAACTTCGATAATACTACTCCTGTATCTGACTGTTCATTCACAGTCGGTAATCCTGTTGTCGATAATTCCAAGAGATTGTTGGATCCAAGTACGGCATTGCAGGGGATTAAGATATTAGTGATAGATAATGAATACTGACAAGTATGGATATTTTAGTCATGGAGGACAAATCAAATCTGATAATCATTTGCCTATGAAGTCAAAATGTGCATGTTCAACGTCCTCAACCTTAAATTCTCCTCATCCACGTAATAAAACGCAGCCTCACAGAAAAATCAATATGACAGGACGAAGAAGATATTCAAGGTAAATACGACTTAAGATATCGAATGAATATTTTAGTTGAAGTGTACAATTGTGTTCTTTCAGCTAATAGTTCAGACAGAGCGGCCAAGAAAAGAATTAAAAGTAATAATGTAACATTCTTTTCTGGATTAAAGCACTCTCACTAAAAAAAAGAGAAATCCGAGTGGAAAAGTCACAGTGTTTTAGTCATATTAAATCGAGATTAATAATTCAATAATTGGTCGTCAGTTCCAAGAGAAAGATGTCATTAAGAAATCTACATAGTGTACTATTGGAATGCACCCATTAACAGATAATTAATTCTCGTTCCAAGCGTCTGAAGGCTTCTGATGTCAGAACGACAAACGATTGATACGGCTTGACAACACAAATCTGTCTATCAGAGTTAAAATTGATCGACTGTAATATACACCTCTACGTGTAATCCTCATATGTCACAGTATGTACATTCTATTTACCAATTACGATTTTTCAAACTGACGTTTGCCTATTGATATACGATGACATTTAATTGACAATCAGTCTTTATCACCAACAACGAAGTGTTCCTTGAAGAAAACTGAAGTAATACGTAGTAAAATAAACATGACACTATTCGACTTAAACACCTTTCGTTCATAATCCAATAATAAGCCATTCTCCAAGAAAGTCATGATGTCAGATGATGATTTTAATTTATTTTTGTTGCAAAGACAAGTTTAATTCGTATGTATAATGTGTGGAAATGATATACAGGCATTTTAAATTATAAAACTCTTTAGTGTTGGAATGTGAAACATGAAATAGTTAATAGGGTCTGATCACAGTAGGATGCATCGTCTATTCTCTGCTGTTTTGCAGAGATCGATCAAACTCACTGCGTCTTCAATGACAGATGGCGTTAGTCACATGAGATCGATTCTCGACCGTCGTACCATTTGACTTGTGTGTACATGTTAAATATCTGTGTGCTATTATGCTCACCAGAAAGAAGGTAGTTTTCAAAGCATTCCGAATAGACAAGCGACTATGGTTACAGTAAACAGTACGGGCTGTTATCGTTATTCTATAGCTTGTGTGAATATATATACTCATCGTTGTTAATGTACGAATTTATACATGACTGTATGCCTTGAGTAACGGTAATTAATCGATATCGATGTTTGGATAATCTAACGCTTCTGCTAATGCGACAAATGAGAGCTTATCGCCGTGCTTTGCACAATGCAAACAGCGAAGCTATATTTACAACGTTTACCGAGGGAGTCCTGTAGTTCTGATACAACTACAGTTCCTATATACCACACACGCGCGTCAAGTATTATTACGAGATAAACAAAAAGATAAACTATCAGTTATTTTAATTCTATGTGGGTTGTCAAGGTTCCAAGGAGAAATTCCTACCGTCAGGGACGCTTTCGTACAGTCTATAACTGTCAGCTTTGAGAGGCTGCATAGAGATGGGGATAAAGGGAAGGCCCATCCCACCTCCGTAATGGATGATGTAACCACAGCAAATACCATGCCTCCTTTATTCGTTTCTGAATGAAATCTTGATATGTCATCCGTATATGTAATTATGGTTCGTGAAACGAGTAACCCGAACGGCAATGCAGTTCTTGTTCTGTCGTTACTCGCCGGAAAAAGTGGCGTCATTAGTAAAGTATTGTATGTGGCATAATGCATTTTACCTGGTGGTACCCTACATACCTAAGATATCGCTAGAGATATTCTAAATAATAAAGTTGAGGCAATGAATAGATCTTTCTCGTTACTGCACTCAAACTTGTATTTCATCAACCATCATATTTTCAATACATACAAAAGAGACGTGGGTTACCCATGAAAAACGAGGGTAATTGTGGCAAACTCAGCCCAATGTTCGCCAAACGTTCAGTGAATAATGTTCCGCTCTTGTTCAACCCAATTGCATCTGACAAATATATTCAAGGATACTCAACGTTTAGTGAGTACGTGCTTTGTGTTTAAGCGGCCAATCGGTGTATTCATAATCTCAAGCTCAATGGACAACAAAAGTTCTAAACATATCTCTTTTGATTATGTACTCGGTGTTTAAGTCACATGAAACACTTCGACTTGGACCAGACAATATGTATCTTAGGATATGCAAGTTTAATGTGCGTTATCAGAGTTGATGCTGTTGTGTCCTCATCATTGAACAGTAATATCATGAGGCTCCAAATGTGTAACGAGCGGTGAGGTAGCCCCGTGGACAAAGCGTTCGCTCGTCACGCCGAAGACCCTCGTTCGATTCCTCACATGGGTACAGTGTGTGAAGCCCGTGATATTGCTGGAATATTGCTAAACGCGGCGGCGTAAAACTAAACACATTCACTAAATGCGTAACGCCATGTGATTGTGATGGTAGATTTAACAGGGTTGTAAAGGTTGTCATGGCGATGTCTGTAGTGATGAATTGCACTGAAGTGAGAAACCTACTATATGCGGTATATATATATATATATATATTTAACATCTAGTAGGCAGACACTTACTGAAATGCTGCAAAACTCAACTCACTCGCCATTTGCAGCTATAGGCTCCCATTTTTCCAAATGGGTCACCGTTACGCTAGGTTGTATAGCTTATCAGTATACAGTATACATCAGCATGTACACACATATGCCTGGATTTGTTATCTGTGTCTAACCTCAAATATGTTATGTACTTTAATAATGCTTCACCTACATACAACATTATTATCTCAGCAGTGCTCTGTACTCTACGCGGTATTTCTACGATAGCATTGCGTACACACCCAATCACTGTATGTTTGCCGCTCTGTACGAGTACCAGGTTAGAATTGATGTTCAGTAATCCAGGCTTGTCGTAAGGTGGTCAGGATCAAGGGCTTGGTTGACACATGTCATCGTATCCCAATTAAGTAGAACGATACTCATGATGCTGATCACTGGATTGTCAGGTCCAGGCTAGATTATTTACAGACCACCTCCATATAGCTGGAATATTGCTGAGTGCGGTGTAAAACGCACTCACTCACTCACTCACTCTGCACAAGTACCATAACTATATTGGAAATCGCTGTTGTATCAGTGGAACCAGATGGATAAAATTTGGTGTTGCCATTGTTTAGTCAGTGACTTAAGCGGACTGTAAGATGGCAGCCTGTCAGTAATGTAATCGAGGAGAGACAAACCAGTGACTGATATTATGAACAACGTCGTCGGGTTACGATGACACGCTATCAGGCAGGTTGAGATCCAGCTTAGTCGATCGACACACAGTAACCTGCTGTTACGCATTGTTGGTGTACGTAATCCCAGATATAGAACGTCCTTTACCAATATACAATTACTGTGAATCCGGAATCCATTGTCTTTCTATACACACAAAGATTCATTAATCCTAGCGAATTCATAGGGAACGGTAACGCCGGATATACGAGGTTTCACTTGGATCGGATCAAGTTGAGTTGAGTTTTACGACGCTTTAAGCAAAATTCCAGCAACATCGCGGCCGGGGGACACCAGAAATGGGCTTCACACATTGTACCCATGTGGGGAATCGAACCCGGGTTTTCGGCTTGATGAGCCATTAGCCACGCTTTAACCACTAGTCTACCGTCCCACTTGGATCGAAACCATCTACATTAACGAGGTCTCGCTGGGAACGCTACAGTCTGGATTAACGAGGTCTCGCTGAAAACGTTACAGTCCGGATTAACGAGGTCTCGCTGGGAACGTTACAATCCGGATTAACGAGGCCTCGCTGAAAACGTTACAGTCCGGATCAACGAGGTCTCGCTGGGAACGTTACAGTCCGGATTAATCAGGTTTCACTGTGTGCACGAGCTTCCACTTTGACAATAGTTCAAACAAGTGCACAATTGCTGTATTTAAAGATATGTTCTCACTAACAACGCCATGGTAGAAGCTAGCATGTGTGTCGTGACGGGAGAACTGTGTAATCACGTGTATTGCCCTTGAACTCAACTAATCAATTTGACAGGTATATCCATGTGAGTGATGGCCAATTGTTCTGGTGTATTTCACCTTCTTTTAAACATTGTGCCT